TACGGAATGCCGATAAGCCAGTACTGCGTCTCTCTCTTTCTCTCTCTCTCTCTCTCTCTCTCTCTCTCTCTCTCTCTCTCTCTCTCTCTCTCAACGCAAAAAGTTGATATGATGATGTAACTCTCGGAATGTATGGATTTCTTCAAAAACAGGGAAGACTGGGAGCACTGCGGCACGGGTTTACTTCTTTTTTTTCTACTTTCGGCACCCACCACGAATCCGGTAGTTTTGACCCCTTTATCACTGTGACGGTAGAGCCGGCCCAACGTCGGTAACTACCGGAAAAGTCGGTAGATTTAGGCAGCCCTGCTTTAGGCCATTCCCAAAAAGGGGGACATGTTCGTATGCTCAGTAGAATTGTAAATGGGCTGATTCATCAATGTCATGCTCATAACTGTGCCTGAACTGCATACCGGGAACTACTTCTTTTCCTTTCCTAATTCTTTCTATCGTCATTTCTCCTCTACTTCTTCTGTATATTTGTCACTCTCTTGTGGCCCGTTATTTCCGGGGTGCCTTGATAGTCGAAGCAGACTTTGTGCTGTTGAAGCTAGAGAGGTGAGCAGAGTAAGCCTGATTCACTGTATGGACTTTTCTGTTGACATCCATCCCTTGGCGCTCACATGACCTGATGCAGTTGCGAGCTCCGTAAAAACTGTACAAAAACTACTTCAAATTGCTCGAGTCTCTGGCTCCATCCATACTCCATTTGTCTTGCGCTGCAGAATGAAGGTAATTCTGTCCATAAACCCCATACACCTGTTTGTATTTCAGAAGACGAAACCCAAGAGACCCTGCTATTACTGTGGTGAATAACAGTCTCAGTTGGTCAGACATCTCAAGAGAAAACACAAGACAGGGGATGCTGTGGTTGCTGCACAGCTGCTCCCAAAAGCGGAACAGCTCCGAGCGTTTGAAAAGATAAGAAAAGAGGGAATTTTTAGAGTGAATTTAAATTAAGTGTGATGGAAAAGGGTCAGCCATTGATCAGAGAGAGAAGGCAAGGCAGCAGTAACAATGCTGATGTACGAATGTGTAATGGCTACCATGGATTTTTGTTTATAGAAAGCAAATTTATAGGCACAAAAAAAGATGTGTTGATATATCAGGGACCTCTTGTGGCTCTGTTAACTGTTCTACATCTTGGAAAAGTGCGGAATCTTTAGGTGTGACCGAAGAATTTAAATCTGTTTTAGACAGTTTTAGGAATGATGAAGCTGGTAGGTTATGTCAAAGTGATTCTTTTATCATTTTGTTGGGAAAGAAGTTGTGGGCCAAAAGCATAAAAAAGAGAAACATGTCATGTGAGAGATGAGAGAGTGCTTGCCAACTTAGTTCTTACAATGAGAATTGTATCTCTAAATGAAAACCTTTGTGCACATAACGTAGTAGAAAGAGAGTATTTTGATACCCTATGTGATTCTATCAGAAATCTCACAACAGGAGAACATGGAGAAGTGACACCTGGCTTAAAGCTGAAATTGTGAAAATAGGCTTGTTGCTGAAGAAAATGATAAAGATTGCCAAAGGAAGCTACATTCAAGCTGGTGAAATAGAGAAGTCAGTGGAGACTGACAGGTTTTCTGCAGTTCTGGATCTTAATTGGGGTTACATCTTTTACACTGCACAAGTCATGTGTGAGCAAAGACGAAACACACTGAGGAAACCACAGGCAATGCCGACCGAGGAAGATATTTCCACGTTGAGGGTGTTCATTTTGAATGAGATGCACAAGTTGTCAGGTGATGAGTTCAAGAACTGGGATCTCCACGATTTTGTGAAGATGCGGAATTTAATTGTGAGTAGATTGGAGAGGAGGCGAGTCTGCGAGGCTTACCCTGCAGGAATGGGAAGAGGCTGCCAATGACTCATGGGTTGATCCTCAACTTGTTCAAACCGTCAAAGATCCACTGGAAAAAGCCCTTCTCAAACAATTTAAATTGGCATACCAGGCTGGAAAGGCTTCAAAGAAACTGGTACCCATATTGATTCCCATTGACACTGTGAAGCCGATCATGAAGTTGGTTGAACAATGTAAAGAAGTGGAAGTACCAGAGGCCAATCCATTCCTTTTTGCAAACACTGGAACTTCCCTTGACCGTGCTGTTGGCTGGCAATGCATAAAAGCTGTCATCAAAATTATGGGTCCTGAACTGGAAAAACCAGAGCTTTTGATAGCAGACAAATTTAGACACAGAATGTCAACACTGTTTGCTGTCTTAGACCTACCAGAAAATGAACGAGCAACATTCTACAGACACATGGGTCATTCAGAAGCTATTAACAAGCATGTTTATCAATGCCTTCTCTCCATTGGAGAAGTTGTCAATGTGGGTAGTTTCCTAAAGGCTGTTGATGAGCCCTCTACACGTAATAAGCTGCCAGTGTTAGCAACTGCAACAGCAAATCCCACAACAGTTACAGAAGCCAGCAGCGAATTCCAACCAACAGAAAACAATGGACAGGGTCACATAAATGAGTCTGAGACAGAACTGACTGCTCAACAGCCAACTCCCGAAGAGCTTGAAGAGTTCCCAGATTTGTCGGATGAAAGCAGAAAGAAGAATGAGGCCATAGGGGCAACGAAAGGGAGAAGATGCTGCAAATGGTCTGTCGAAAACACAAGGCTGGTGAAAGAGTTTTTTAGAGAAACAATTCAAGATACCTCTTCCGTAGAGTTCAAAGGCTCTCTGCCAGGAAAGTCTGATATTATGGCCTTCCTTGACAAGCATCTAATTTTCAGGGAATCGGAAGAGAGTAAGTTCTCACTGAAAGAGCAGATTGCTCTTGTGAAGACAAAGATCTTCAATGAAAGAAACAAAGCACGCTCATCTTTTAAAAACTTGACAGCATAGAATAGCTATGTGCTTAAGTATATACACTAGGCCTAAACTATATTTTAGACTTTACCAAGTTTAAGATAATTATTTGGTAAACTTTTCAGGGAGAAAATTTGTCTCCAGCATTTTTGTATTGCTTCTGAACTTTTCCGTGTTTTTTTTAGGTTCATAAGATGAAGCGGCAGAGATATACATGTATTGTATTTAATTGTTATAGTTGTGGTTATGTGTTTGGCAGAGCTTTTATTTTTTAGAACTATAATCACGAAATAAATTATGATAATGGAAACAAAAAGCAACTGATTGTTGTTTCAATCAATGGCAAAATTATGGTGAAAATAAAATAAAGTCTAAAAGTTTTTCTTTTTCATATTAAGCATAAAGTCTTATAGAGATTTTCAAAGGACAAATCATTATTTTTTGTGGGAAAAATCCAGAATGAGTACCTCAGTATCTTTGGATGTCAGAGACAATATGGTTTGCCATCTGTTGTAGTTGTGATTCTCATTATACCTTATTCTTGTTTTGGTTATCATGCTCATTATACGCAAATTCATGGAAACATAAATTTGGTTGTTATCATATTTCCTCTGACGTGATTAGACACCATGTTCCCTTCACATGCCTGGGCAGGATCAATCTACCTTTGTTTGTATTCCATTTTTGATCCACACGTCCTTCTATGGGAGGTTTGGGGGTTTTCTGTGTAGCAATGCTATGTGAACTACATACCGTGGTTGGGCAGGAAAACTCTGACATTGATCTTTCATTTTATAGTCTTTTGTAAAAGGTTATTAAATTTATTTGTGTTTTACACACGTTTTCATTTGTGCTTTGGTATTCCATGTGTGTTTTGTGCTTTGGTATTCCATGTGTGTTTTGTGCTTTGGTATTCCATGTGTGTGCTTGCACCTGTAAGGTGTTGATGTAGGTGTAACTAGTAACAATATTGAGGCCTCATGTGTAGTAGATTGAGATTGATACATGATATTACTAAAGTTTCAATAAGTCAAGTCTAAAGTACATTGCGCTACATATTGTATTAGCACGTTGTCATTTGTCACATTAAAACCAACTTGCCTTTAATGTCATTGACTTTTTGCCCCCTTCAAGTTACTTTTATCAAAATGGAAGATCAGAACATGAATACACTTTTTTGAGAAATATATGATATACTTTTGTTCTGTTTAAAAAAAAAAACTTTCAAACTTTGATATCTAGGTGTATTCTTCTTTTGAGAAACTTGTAATGCGATGTGCTTGGTTCGGTTTTTTATCCCTTGCAACACAGTACTGGCATGTAAAAGAGATATCAGTTCCATTCTCAATGTTTCTTTTCTATAAGACAGAACTATCCAGAATGAAATCCCTAGAGTAAATTGCGAGAGCCGGGATTTGAACCCAAGACCATTTTTGTCTTTGCTGCACTTTCAATGACAAGACAGCTGGGTAGTGAACACAGAGACACATGGTAAAAAGGCATTCGCCTACGGTAGCGAAGCTTAGTGCCTGTTGTTGCAATCCAACTTTGAGATGTATAATGTCACCTTCAAAGTCAAATCAATTAGTAAGATTTAAACTGTGTCAGCATTTCGAAAACTGCTCTCATGCTCAACTGAACATTGGCTTTGACGTGACCATGTACCAATGTTTTTTGTGGTGACATATACATGTTTATTTAGTGACTTAAACAAATACCAGTGTAAGGGAGACACACACATATTATTTCATAATATGTTTCCCCAATACTGGTACTTGCTCAAGAAATATATGTCACCACAAGTATCATTTGTACACGGTCACCTCAAAGCTTATATTTGGTTTAGCGTAGGAGTGGTTGCCCTGATATTGGTAGTTTTGTTAGTAAAAATTAGGGCGACCACTTATTTTTGTATGTCTAACACAAATGTCAAAAGACGATAAAAAAGTGTTTTTTTGGTACTATTCAAAGTGTGCAGAATGCTATTCTGTATATTTTATTTCATTCCATGTGTACACTTATGATATAGGTCCGGTCTCCTTAAGCTGGTTTTGCACAATGGTCGCCCTAACCTGTAATTAGTTTATATATACAGTCGAGCCTGTGGAAGACGGAATCGCAAGGGAGCCAGAAAAAAATCGTCTTAGACATTTTTCATCTTAGACAGCGGAATTTAGGGGGAGATGGAAGGGGGGGGGGGGGGTCAATGGCCCAGCCAGTGGGATCAAGGATCGCTTGTCTGATCGACCAGCCGTGGTCAAAACTTCACACCTCTCAGCTGCTATCATCTCTGATAATGACATGCGTCAGTCTTACTTATCCCATTACCACCAGTGCTTGCCTTTCATAGGACCACTGTTTGACCTATTAAAAACAGAAACGTTTGAACATCCCCTTTGGTTCCACCCTTAGCCCCACCCACCGGTGTAACAAGCACAGTTAACCAATGCCACCCCTCGCTGCCATCATGTAAAAACGATTCGAGGAACTCTTTTCTCGGCTGGCATTGGTCAATCTAATTTCACACCTCTGGCTTCTGGCTACCCAAGAAAGTTTCCGTAGTGGCTCGCGACTCGAGCACTCTCACGGGCAGTCGTGAGATTTCACACCCACACTACACTGACCATCTGCATCATTCAGGGCTCACATGATGGGGTAACATCTACCCACAAATTGCACCCCTTCTCCCCTTCCTCGGCCAGCGGCATGGCCATAGCGTTAAGTTTAGAGCCAGCAGAACCAAACTTGCGAGTTTTGTTTCAAATCAGGGTTGAACGGGCAAAGCGTTTTCCGTCTTAGACAGGTGAAACCCTCGGAAGGAGCAGATTTTCCTTTCCGTTTCCGCGTTGGACAGGTTTCCGTTTTATACAGGTAATTAAAGAGGAATATATCAAGGGGGGAGCGGGGAGATTCCGTTAAGACAGGTTTCCATTTTATACAGGAAATTAAAGAGGAATATATCAAGGGGGGAGCGGGGAGATTCCGTTAAGACAGGTTTCCGTTTTACACAGGTTTCCGTTAAGGCAGGTTCGACTGTATATATAATTAATAGAATTATTACTTTAAGTTACTTTTTTTGTAACTGTCATTAAGTACTCAAACTAGCTGCTACTATTTTTATCACACACAGCTTGCAACGAGAGCTATCCAGTAGCTTTTTGTGGTTTCTAATGAAATTTTGAAAAGTCCGATGTTTTGTTGAGCAACGATACTTTTCAGAATTGTTGCCTACCCTTTTGTAACAGCCTTTAGTACCCAGACTTGCCATAAATTTACTACTACTTTTTTTTCAGATAGAGCTTTGAATGAGCTTTCCAGTGGTATATTTGACATCTGTCTAGCATAATTAGTTGATTTTTTATGACTTACTAAAAAATGGCCTCAAACTGCAATTTTGTCATTGGTTTCTTCCCCTTAGGCATTTTCGACCAGCACACCCCTTGGATACGGTTATACATTTATCTCTCTTGTATTTAAGTTTTAAGTCTCAGTATGTATATCTTATGAGATTTGCATTTTGATGGCTATCCAGCCTTAAATGTTTATTTTATGTATCCTAGAAAATGGGGTTCCAAGCCATTGGCATCCATTTTTAAACTTCAGTTTTGTTTTCTTTCAGTTTTGAACTACTATAATTACGACAATGGCTACATGAATTATATTTCAATTTCTTTTACGCTAAGTTTGTGTGTTTTTGTCAAAGAATATGTAAAACACTTTTGATTTTCAAGACCGGTTTTCACGTAGTGTGACCCTGAAACAGCGTTGTCAGCCAGTTGCGCACACGTCACGATTTTTACAAGTGCAATAAATATTTGAAACATCATATCTCAGGTATTTGTTGATGGATTTTGATCACTCTTTTATCATAGTTCTAGTTTCACTGAGCACTATATGGAAAGTATAGAGCTAGTCTTGTTATGGTATTCTTTAAAAAACAATTTCACTTGTGGTACCTAATCTAAACAACTTTTATTGTGTTTAAAACCCAGTTATAAGCGGTACGACAGAGATAGAAGGAAAATGGTTTTATAGAGGGCGCTGAAGCCAATATTACAATTACGGGAAAGTAAAAAATCTGGTGGGGCCCAGATTGTTCATGTAAATTGGGGCACGCCGGCCCTGGCGATGTGGGTGAGCACCCGTTTGCTGGGACATTTCAGTAACCCACTTTCAGCACTTTTTAAGGACCCCCGGGCGAGTGTTGAGTTCCTGCGTGCTGTCGGCATCGCTGACCGTTTATGAAGCCCCAGCGCCAGAAAAGAGAGAGAGAGAGAGAGAGAGAGAGAGAGAAAGAGAGAGAGAGAGAGAGGGGGGGGGAGAGAGAGAGAGAGAGAGAGAGAGAGAGAGAGAGAGAGAGAGGGAGGGAGGGAGGGAGGGAGAGAGAGATGTGGGTGAGAAGTCTCCCATGTCAGTAAAGACCCTGTCGGCGGACCTCGCGTTTGGTACAAAGTAGATATGTACATTTTGTACTTTGTATATATTAGAACGGTTGTGGAGCATTGGTGGATGGGTATAGTAGTCATAGTAAGTAGAAGCACGACTTGACTCGACAGAGAACTTCCTTTTGCCCAGGGACGAGTGTGACCTGAGACAGAACGACATTTACTGTTTGCCCATTCACAAGTGTGACCTGAGATCAAGGAGCTTAGAACTAATGGAGCCTCCTCTCTCTCTTCGCGGCGCCACGAGCAGTACGCCGCGTTGGGGATCAAATATGGCCACCGAGTGTGGGCTAAATCACGAACTGTGGCGGTTCTTTTAATAGAATCTTATCGGGGCTGGGCCACTTTTAATCTCTTTGCCTGAGATACAACGACATTTACTGTTTGCCCATTCACATGTGGGACCTGAGATACAACGACATTTACTGTTTGCCCATTCACAAGTGGGACCTGAGATACAACGACATTTACTGTTTGCCCATTCACTAGTGGGACCTGAGATACAACGACATTTACTGTTGACCCCAATAAAAGCACAACGTGTCTAGACGGCTTTAGCAAAATTATATTAGGATCATTATTAAATATTTTGAAAGTACCGATGAAAAGCTACGAGTCACGACTGGACTGTTTCCAAGAGCTCTTCTGAAGTGAGGCAGATAACTCGTAGTAATCTCCTTGGAAGAGAGGAAGGGACGGCGGTGGAGGAAATTGGAGAACTGGTGGATGTCAACAACCGGTCGTCCACGAACACGCTCAGGGCTATGATTCGTTAATTGCTCGTCTCTGTACCCACACTCTTAGTCTTACTCATCCTCTTGTTTAGAGTGGAAGGAAGAGAAAATTCAAAATGCAGGCGAAGGATGTGTTTGACAAGCTCAGACGCTTTGATGCATACCCTAAGACTCTGGAAGATTTCCGAGTGAAAACATACGGCGGCGCAGCGGGTGAGTGTGGGAGATGGAATTTTGTCAACGAAGTGTATACAGACCCGGTAACCGGGAACAAAGTCACGAAGTATACAGACCCGGTAAGGGAACTCTTTTGTGATTTCGGAGAGTTTCAGCGCCCAGACCCGGTAGTGTGTGTGCGTGTGTGTGTGTGTGTGTGTG